GGAGTTGGTCAGTCTATGTATGCTTTAATTTCCAAATTCTTTATTTTTCAGTCAGATGGTAGCAAAAAAGAAGTGTTCTTAAGTGGCAGTTTTTTGAAGAACGACGGGCCAGTTTGGTTGTGTTTATTTTTCATGGTCTGGATAATTTCTAGTTTGCTGCTCATAATAATTCCGCTTAGTGTGTGTATTTGAAATGTTAGTCCGTCTCCAGTTTCAATGCTAAATTTGGTTTAGACTGTAAACAGTATGAAATTGTGTTGTAAAAATTTGGCTGCTGCCATACATTTGTCTAAACCCCTCATTTAGTGCAGAAACAGTGGTATACTGGTATTTCATTGCTTGGCTGTCACAATTTTTTCTTTACATCAGCATACACTCTTTTCACATCTAATATTTGAGAAGTCTGGACCGTCATTGTGCTTTGAGGTAGCATCCATTGCAAATAAAGTTAAAATTTCACTTACCCTCTTTGTTTTTATAGTCTTACATGTTGTGTGCTCCTTTCTTTGTGTTATATGCTATACACGTTAAGGAGTTTGCTCAATCTAGCCTTCTGCTATATTTGTACAGCATTCGTGTCAAATAAGAGGATATCTTCTGGTGGCCAACAACGAGTATCTCAGTTGGAATTTCTTCGGCACATTCTTACCATTATCTATCAACTTTTGACCTCTCATTGATCTATCATAAGTATGCTAAGATGGTATTTAGGAATATAGCTTTTGATTGCGTCAGTGACAATGAAAGAGTGCTTAGTATTGGATCATATGATATTTTGTTACTTGACACGCAGGATATTCACTTTGATGGAAGCCATAGATTTACGGACCTTATTCTTGACCAGGGTAAGCACTTCTGTCTATTATTTGCTTCGTTGACATTTTTTCTAACTGTAAACTGTATAGTTAATAACTCAAAATGTTATACCCGCTTTTCTAAGTTGGTCTCATTAGTGTATCATACAGCTTAAATGGTCTGTTGCCTTCAGAAATAATAGGGCTCATTGGCAGGAATGTAATTATTGCACACTCAGTCGTATAAATAGAGAGCCACCCTTCCCGTTTAAAGGGTTGGTACTCGCTAGTCAGCCCACTGCATTTCTCCCTACTTCGCCGAGTGTTGCCAACATGTGACGTCAATGACGAGAGACAACGCTAAGAATGATGTTGCGAAGCAAACGACGCGACACTACAACGTGACAACGTACTCCATGGGATGGCATAGAATATTTCTCTAGGGTATTCTTGAAAGTATGGAAATACCACCAGCCTTATTTTAGGATGAATGGTAATACTCTAACCTGCTTAAGAGCAGGAGTGTAATTACCGCAAGCTCAGATCCTATAAATACAGAACCACCTCGGACTTTTGGAGTTTCAAAGGGCAATTCTCTAGTCACCTCGCTAAAGTATACACCTCTCACCTCTTAGGGTGAATTTGGCTAAGTGTTGGCCATACAACTACAAAAAACATTTCTAAGTCACCACCAAGAACCACCTGATCAGAACACAAGCTTTATGCAAGTACAAAGGGGATAAGAAGATCTTGGTCAGAGAGCAATCAATATTGACTGAAAAATAACTATCTAAGCTAGTCATTCTTACCAGATCCCTTTGAGTAAATTACCAATGGTTGAAAACATACCTCTTGGTCCCAAGGTGAGATCTTAGGAGTTCGCAGGGGTTGCTGGAACGACCTCCGCCATCAATGGATGTGGTGATGCCAAGTTTCTGGGTTATCTCAATGAGAACATCCATTGGGCGTTGTTGCTCCGTGGCACTAACCCAAGCCCGCGCTTCGTATTGGCTCATACTCTCATATACATGTCTGGCAAGGAGAGTCTTGCCTATGCCACCGAAGCCAACAATGGAGATCACCTTGAGTTGCTGCTGCTCCTGCTGGATCAACTCCAGAAGCTCATCCCGTTGTGCGTCCATACCCACAGGGCTGTTAGCAGAATGGAAGTCATTCGTCTCAATCTCTATCGTCTCAGATGCCATTGGTGACGACGAAGCTGAGGAGGAGGTGGAAGTACCATAAGTTGTTCTCAGCTTGGATGACTCCTTTGATATCTTCTTGAGCTTGCCGATTGCCTCGGCAAACTCATTACGGGCCTTCCTTGTCTTCAACTTCTGGATTGGCGACTTATTGGATATCGCCACGCGGGGCGTGAAGCGGTCGATGCAGTCTTCGATGGCGTGCGCCAAGTCGCGTATAATTTGGATCCAGGCCCTCTGCACGTGGTCAGTCCTGCTGCCACTCCTCCAGCAACAGTCATCGTCTTGCTGAATGGCGGCAGAAATGAACGCAAACTCTCTTTGGATGTAGGTGATGTCATGCTGCAAGTTCTGCCGAAGCTTGTGATTTGCAGCTAAGAACTCTATGAGCTTTGGTGCGATCCTACCGACAAAAACGGTGGCCGCTGCAGCCTCCATCTCCCTGGCTGGCCTATATGTCTTCCTCTATCACTCACTCGGGTTGGAAGATCAGATCATGGAATTTCATGGATACAGAAAGGAGGTCAGCGAGGAGCCGAGGACACAGGAGGGGCCATGGCCATATCAAGGTAGCTAGCTGCGAGTGCCTGCTTAGAGATATTTTACTCCAGCATCCCTGATTAGTCATCCCATCCACGCATCCTCCAACTTGCTGGAGTTAATTTTTTACATATGATGCTGCCAAGAATCTGTTCATATCGCTGCGCCACCATCCACTGAACCTTTTTAAATGATGCACTAATTAAACTGCTCCCTCCAATCGAGATCGACAAAAGCTCAAATTTCGGACACGGACTTGTCTTCAGTACATAGCTTTGACCACTAGCTTGTATATGAAATACAATAAAATTGAGGTGTTATGAAAGTACTCGTCGGTACAAATCTGCACATATTGATTTACAAGTATTCGATATAAATGTTTGGACAAGTAGTCAGAATTCAAAAGTCGGACTAAATCCATGTCCAAAGAATCATGTTTTTGTGAACTGAAGGGGTGCATATTTTTTGAAAGGTAGACAAAGAGCTTGCCTCATTCAATTAGTTAAGGGATAGTTGACGCAGAGGAAAACATAAAAGGAAAAAATGGTTAATACTACCAGAGCATATTATTCGGGGTAATATTTCCCGAATGCATAGGCCCCAGAGGAGCCCAATTTCCTTCCTCATTTTTAATGTTTGCAACTAGCTGTTTTTATTTTATTGTGTGGTATGATTGGAAATTTCCTGAGAATAAACCAGTTCATACCCTAGCAAGATTCAAGATAGAATCATGGACAGCAACTAAGGTGGTGGCAGGTAGCTATTTCTAATTTATTGTATGGGGACATGATGCCAGTTCAAGCATCTTTCTCAATTTGTTTTGTTTCATATTTTAATTTGGTGTTAGTACCACCCGTGGATGCTTAACTTTGCAAGCACGGTTAGTCTTCACCTAACTCACACGAATAATTGTTTGGAATAGCATATTCATCCATAGAGTTCTGTGTTTTCCTTAGTTATTCACGTGATATTATAATGCCAAGTTACTTCCTTTGCTTAATCTGATCGATTTTGTTCTATATATGGTTTGGGTACTGTAATAAGTTGTGTGCATTGACATGCAGGGAACTAGAACAAGACTCTTATACATAATAGTGGTAGTACATAGTTAAATAGTCCTATCAGGGTACTCCTAATGCCTTATCCTAGGTGGTGGAAGAAAATGAGAGACAAACACCCCAATGCATTGTTTCTTACATGTTGTATCTAAGTGTGTAGCATTTAATTAGTTTAGGGATCATGTTTGCATCTCAATATTGTGGCCTAGTCATGGAGAGAAGGAAACAAGAGGAACATAGGGAGAGAAAGTCACTTCGGATCAAGGCATTAATTACACTGTGTAGGGAAACATGCTAAGGGCCGCAACTCCACTAAGAAACAACCCTCCTCTCTTGATGTGCCACATCAGCATTTTACCTATGAACCCATGCTAGAAACAAGCATAGGGAGTGTCCTCAAGACAGTCATGCACGGTAAGTAACAAGGTGGTATCACTTGGATACATTGCAAAGAATCAATTAAAACTCCCATTAAAAAAATGTTCTATACAAACATCGCATTAAACATGGACACAAACACATATAGAGCAGAGATTCAGAATAAAGTGGAGAAGAAAAAATTGCTAAAGAAACAAAGAAGAAAGACAGGAGGTGCCATGTTAGGTTCTGCTTGTTTTTGGAATCCGCCTCGAGCAGTGAATGCAAAGCTGCAGGAACTAGGTGCATTGATAAGATCAAACCATGCTATTATTCAATCTTCCGGTTTTTGAAGTTTAGAGAGAGACAGAGAAATTTAAAAATATAGAGAGGGAGGGAGGGAGGGGGAGAGGGGGGGGGGCACATGATGTCAGTTCAAGCATCTTTCCCAATTTATTTTTGTTATGTATTTTAATTAGGTGTCTGTAGCCAGCAGTCGGATGCTTAACTATGCAAGCACGGCTTAGTCTTCACCTAACTGACACCAAATTTTTTTCGGAATAACATATTCGTCCGTAATTATTAACGTGATATTATAATGTCAAGTTGCTCTCTTTGCTTACTCTGACAAATTTTATTTTCGTATAGGTTTGGTTAGCTGCGTCTTGTGTGCATTCACATGCAGGATTTAGAACAATACTCTTATGCATCTTGGTTGGATACGTAGTAGTAGTACATAACTACGTAGTCCTATTAGGACAGAGTCGCCATGTTAGGTTGTACTTGTTTTTGGAATTGTCGACCTAAAAAGATACCGGATCTCATCTGCCTCGAGCCTTAAATGCAAAGCCGCAGGAACTAGGTGCATTGATCAGAACAAACCATGCATAAACTATAGTAAAGCTAGCCTTTGATTTTTTTTAAGCACAGTTGAGAGATAGATAAAGGAAAATAAATAAATCTATGTACTGAGAGAGGGGGGTGGGAAGAGAGATTGTTGGGGACGCCAGAAATTGTTGGTGCCGGACCTGAGGAAACGGAAATCACAGATGAGGATTGGGATAGATCTCACAGATGAGGATGAGGATGAGGAGCCGGACCTGAGCAAGCAGAAATCGTTGATGCACAGTGCATTCATATACGATCCAACTACAGCCACATGTGAGCGCGCCCGCAAAGACTCTCTATCTCCTTCCGGCCGCGGCTAGTGCTCTTAATTACTAACTAAGCATGCGTTTTTTTGCGGTTTCAGTTTCTGATCCTGTTGCTCGACAACGAGTTGGAAACAACACGGTCCTTGAAGAATCTTGCTTACTCACATCATCTGATATCTCGATGTTGTCTGGTAAGTGCACTTGATCTATTTCCCTAGCTTGATTTCACTTAATTTCTCTTATTTTCTTTCGCTTCCATCTTATGTGTGTTTGATTAAGTAGATGGCTCGGTGAGTGCTTCGTTGGGCGCCATGAGACCGCTTGTCGAGAAGCTCGACATGCTGCTAGCCTCCGCTCAGGAATACAGTAGCTTGCCCAAGAGGATCAAGGATGGGATGCAGCTTCTCGAACATGATGTTGAAGTGTTAAGCTTCTACCTTGATGAACTCGCAGAGGTGGAGGACCCTCCACCGATGGCCAAGTGCTGGATGAATGAGGCGCATGACCTGTCTTACGATATGGAGGATTATATTGACATCTTATTATTTGTTCCACCTGACCATTTCATCAAAAAGAAGAAAAAGAGGAGGAGGAGGAAGAAGAAGATGATGATAAAGAAGAGGCTCAAGTGGTACAAACAGATTGTATGCAGAGCGCAAGTGTCAGAACATGGTATCAAGACCAGTAAAATCATTCATGTTAATGTCCCTCGTCTTCCTAGTAAGCCCAAGATTGCAAAAACAATATCGGAATTCAGGAGCTATGTCCAGGAGGCTATTGAACGGTATGACAGGTATAGCCTTCAGTGCTGCAGCACCTTGAGGCGTAGATTCTTGTCCACTAGCATTATGCTTCCAATGCCCTATGAAGAAGCTGCACACATTGTAATTGATGGCCGGATGAATGAGTTTATCAACTCACTGGCCGCCAATGATGCGGCAGATCAGCAGCAGCTCAAGGTGGTATCTGTTCTTGGATCTGGGTGTCTGGGTAAAACTACACTTGCCAATGTTTTGTATGACAGAATTAGGATGCAATTTGAATGCAGAGCTTTCATTCAAGTGTCCAAAAATCCTGATATGAAGAGACTTTTCCGCGACTTATTCTTGCAACTCCACAAGAAGAAGCAGCCACGGCCCGCCAATTGTAATGATTTTGACATCAGCGATATTAACATCAGCAAACATCTGCAAGATAAAAGGTACTATTGGCCCCTTATGCTATTTATTTTAGTTTATGGGTTATCATAGGTTTCTGTTGGGTTTCATTAGCCCAACTTGCTTGGGACAAAATGCTTTGTTATTGATGTGCCTGAATTCTTGGCATGCAGGTATCTAATTGTTATTGATGATTTGTGGGATGCATCAGTATGGGATATTATTAAATATGCTTTCCCGAAAGGAAACTGTGGTAGCAGAATAATAATAACTACACAGATTGATGATGTTGCATTAACATGTTGCTCTGATCACTCAGAACATGTTTTCGAGATGAAACCTCTCGATGGTGATTACTCAAGAAAGTTATTTTTTGATAAATTTTCTGGTTCTGAAAGTGACTGTCCTGAAGAATTCAAACAAGTTACGAAAGAAATTGTTGATATATGCGGTGGTTTGCCGCTAGCAACAATCAACATAGCTAGTCATTTGGCAAACCAGGATACAGAAGTATCAATGGATTTTCTGGCATACATACGTGATACGCTGAGGTCCTATTTGTGGTCAAATTCTACTTCAGAAATAACGAAACAAGTATTCAACCTCATCTACAATAATCTTCCACATTATCTGAAGACATGTTTGCTGTATCTGCATATCTATCCAGAGGCCTCCATAATCTGGAAGGATGATCTGGTGAAGCAATGGGTGGCTGAAGGGTTCATTGCTACAAGAAAAGGGAAAAAGCAAGATCAAGAAATGATAGAGAAAGCTGCAGGACTCTATTTCGATGCACTTATTGAGAGAAGATTCATCCAACCTTCATATATCAACTACAACAATAAGGTGTTGTCTTGTACTGTTCATGAAGTAGTACGTGATCTTATTGCACACAAATCTGCAGAAGAGAATTTCATTGTGGTAGTAGATTGCAATCGGAAGAATATAGCACTTTCTCATAAGGTTCGTCGACTATCTCTCGTCTTTGGTGATGCAAAGTATGCTAAGATACCAGCAAACATCACAAAGTCACAAGTTCGGTCACTTAGATTTTCTGGATTATTTGAGTGCATGCCTTGTATTAGCGAATTCAAGGTTCTCCGTCTTCTGGACCTTCAACTATTTGGTTATTGTGGTGACCCTGACCCCATAGACCTCACTGGTATTTCAGAACTGTTTCAGCTGAGATATTTGAAGATTGCAAGTGATGTCTGCATAAGACTACCAAATCGTATGCAAGGCCTGAATTGTTTGGAAACACTGGATATTCTGAATGCAACAAGAATCACTGCTATTCCATGGGATATTATACATCTCCCACACTTGTTGCACCTGATTCTTCCTGTTGACACAAACCTGCTGGATTGGATTGGCAGCACGAGTGACTCTGTTATCCATGAGTGGAGCCTTGGCAAGCTGAACTACCTGCAGGATCTTCATCTCACTTTTTTTCCTACATTACCTTTTTACAATCATCTGGAGGCAAGCATGGAAGTTCTGGGTTCATTAATCGGAGGACATGGCAACCTCAAAACTATAGTAGTGGCTCATGGTTCTTCAATTACAAATATCGTGGATCATAGTATTGGCTATAGTGCTTCAAAAGCAATCATTCCATTGTTTTGCATGGCACCTCCCCCCCTTCTCCAGAGATTTGAGTTCTCACTGCACAACTGCTGCATATTCTCACAAATTCCTCCATGGGTTGAGAAACATGGCAACCTATGCATTTTGAAGATTCAGGTGAGGGAATTGATGATGATTTGTGTTGATATTCTCGGTGGATTGCATGCCCTGACTACTCTGTCACTGTATGTGGAAACGGCGCCCATTCACAAGATCATCTTTAACAAGGCTGCCGGGTTCTCAGTTCTAAAGTACTTCAAGTTGAGGTGCACGACTGGTATCCCATGGCTAAAATTTGAGGCGGATGCAATGCCTAATCTCTTGAAGCTCAAGCTAGTTTTCAATGCCATCCCACCAATGGACCAACCTCTCTTTTTTACTTCGGGCCAGCTACGACACAAAGTACGACATGAACATGGTACTGCAGTAATTAGCATCCAGCATATGCCAGGACTCAAAGAGATCTCTGCACAATTTAAGGGTGCAGTTTCTGATCTAGAGTATGCCTCGAGGACCTTCATCAGTAATCATCCGAGCAATCCCACAATCAACATGCAGTTGGTGGGTTGTAGTTCCAATGTTGACGGAAGCAGAAAACGGAAACAACAACCGGATGACACTCTGAAGGATGAATATGCCAAGAGATTAGAGATACCAGCTGATAAAAGGTAACAATTTTCCTTGTAAAAACAAAGAAATAAGCCCTCCATGTTCTAACGAAGCTAGATGGTTGTTGAAATCAGGATTGCAACGTCGATGGAGTCTTCTTCCAGTCTGGATGATCTGCGTATGCCTGTGTCTCAATTTTTTGACCCTCCAGCTTTTTCTATCTGTCAACCTGTGGAGTCTTCTTCGAGGATGGATGATGCAGGTATATCTGTAATCAACTTGTGCTGATAGAGAAGTTTTTCCTTTGAAGTTACTGCACCAAAGAAGATGTCTTAACCTGCCATTATTTTTCCAGAAATTACACCAAGCGGCAGTGATGAGGGGCGGGAACACATGTTCGACAAGGTGGTTAACCCAAGCGACGTGGGGAAGCTGAACCGGCTGGTGGTGCCGAAGCACTTTGCAGAGAAGTACTTCCCTCTGGATGCGGCGGCGAACGATAAGGGCATGCTGCTCAGCTTCGAGGATCGTGGGGGCAAGCTCTGGCGGTTCCGCTACTCCTACTGGAACAGAAGCCAGAGCTACGTCATGACCAAGGGGTGGAGCCGCTTTGTCAAGGAGAAGAGACTCAATGTTGGGGACACGATTTCCTTCTACCGGGGCGCCACCGAGGCCACGCGGGACCGCCTCTTCATCGACCGGAAGTGCCGGGCCATAGTCCATGATTCGTTGCCAAAGTTAGACAGGGCGTCGAGGGCGGTCCAGAAGCGGGTGCGGCTGTTCGGAGTCAATCTCGAAACCCAGCAGCCCCAAGGTGGCGAGTTAACCCACGATGCCAATGCCGGTGCAGCTGGAGTGGAGTCCTCAGCTGCTGCCTCATCGCCGTCGTCCTCCCAGACAGAAGCGCATTCCTCCTTGGATCTCGGTCTGTGAATGCGTGCCCAAGGAAAGTTCAACAGCACAATTCCTTCAATTTGTCACCTTTATTTTCTTCTCCACCTTTTTGTGGTTCCGTCTGTTATAACATTGATATAGGCCAGCATTTATGCTTTTGTTTAGGCCATTCAAATTCTTGGTGTTGGTTTCAGAATTAAATTAGGCGAATTAATCAAATCCTCCATGGATTTGTTTGGATTCAATTGAAATTCCTTCATTTCTTAAGTCTTTGCCACTATCGCAGTATAGCTGGCTCGCTATTTTTCTGCGTTGTTCTTTTCTATTTCCAGTTATTAATGTTTGTCTGTGAACTTGTGTGAATAGACAAGTTTGGTCATCAAGTTAATTAAGAAAGTTACTTGACTTCACCAACGAAGATGCGACAACTGTCCGTCATTTCTGCAGAAATTTGAGCAAGACTGAAAGCCATCTTCGCTAATGTACATCCCAGACATGGCGTATTCATCCTCAATGGGCAAAGTCAAATGGAGGCTAGCAGGTTACAGTTGTCTGTTTCTGTTTATTGTGTGGGGTACTTGCACGCAGGTAGTACTGCCTTTGTTCCTAAATATAAGATGTTTTAGATAATTTCAATGTAGACTATATATGAATTAAAATAAGTGAACATACACAGTAAAATAGGTCTAGATACATGCAAATCAGAAAAATGCTAAAGATCGAGATAGTAGCAGATTAGCTCAACCCGCACCGCACGTGTGTCAGTTTAGTTCGTAGTCGTAATGGACGGGAACATCTCCTCTCACTGAATCCACATCCTCAGGAGACCTGAAATAAATTCTGAAAAATGCGACCACCAGTGTCAAAGTCTAGGACTTGAACCCTGGTGGGTTGGGGATAACCCTATCCTCTTAACCATTCAACCGCAGGTTGGATTGCACCTTTTTTGGTTTGATAAGTGACGCACTGCATGTGTGTCACTTCACTGATGGGAAAAGGCTTCATATTAGTGGCGGACGCAGCCAGCGTCTGCCACTGCTATAGGCTTATCAGTGGTAGGTACAAGTTTGCACCTGCCACTTGTAACAGCCGTCCAGATTTTTTGTGGGACAAATGTTACCAATGGTAGGCACGAAACAACGCCTGACACTCCTACTCCGGTTACCAGTGCGGGCTGTGCTAGGTACCCGTCACTGAAATTATTTGTCCGGCGGTAAATTTGTTCAAAAATACCAATGACGGGCCGCAATACATGCCCGTTATGGGTAACTCAAGTAGGAATGGCGAGCGTTGTTATGTGTCCGCCACTAGTAATATTTTCAGCCGCCACTGATAACTTTTTTGTACCAGTGGCAGACGCATATTTTTTACCTGCCAGCCACTGATATTTTTTCTACTAAGTAATAGTCGTAAAGTCCCACACTCTAGCGCCCTAGCTAAGTGGTAGTAGTGGCAAAGTGGCATCTTATCAGTGGTGGGCACACTCTAGCGCCCGCCACTCGTACTTACGCAATCCGGCATGGCAAAATAAGGGCATGCTCTGATTGCCCGAGGCGGCCCTCCCACGGATCGCCATCCTGGTAGTCCATCCTGGCCGTCCATTTTCTCTTCCTCCAATTCATCTGCCTACCTAGCCTCCATCACCTCTCTCTCTCTCCCCCAAACTCTCTCTCGCTCTCCCAAACTCCCTCTCTCTCTCTCTCGAAGTCCTTTCAAATGTGGCAGCATGGAGCTGCGGTGACGATTGTCCGTGTAGGCGACCGGATGGAGGCAGAAGGGGCGGGGAGACGAATCTAGCGTGTCTGATGGATGGAGACATGGAGGGAAGAAGAGTGCGAGGAGGCAGATCTGACGAGCGACCAACAGCGGCTCCGAAGGGGCTGCATTGGATGGAGGGAAGATCCAGAGCGTGAGGTGGAGGAGCCAGTGGGTGCGCGGCGACGGTTCCAGCGCGGTAGCAGATGCAGCGGGCACATGTGACGGCGGATCTAGCAGACGTGTGGCAGCGGATCGAGCGCGGTGGTAGATCCAGCAGGCGTGTGCGCGACGAATCCAACACTCGCGGCGGCAGATCTAGCACGCGCAACGGTGTTGCCTGCCAAGGTGTCACATGCGTACATAGCTACCAGCTTCCCGAGCAGGGGCAGGGCCGCACCATGGAGTTCCTCTGCTGCACCGCCGGGAGGTGCACATCGTTTTTTTTTAATTTCCAAAATCACATACCAATGGCGGGTGAGAAATAAGGACCGCCACATGTATGTTTCCCTGCGAGTAGAGGGTGAAAATTGACAGCCGCAATTGGTAGTGTGTGTCGTTAGTGGATTAGTAGCGGCGGACGCTCGGTAAAGCCTACTGGTTACTCGATTTTGGGAAGGTCATTTGAGAGCATTGTAATCGTGAATCTAATATGATAGCTCATGTGCTAGCGCAAAATGGACATGTAGATCCACCGAATTTGTGGTTGGACTCACCTCCGGCATTTATTTTGTAACTCTTAGCGGACCATGTAAGTGTTGGTTAAATTATAAATAAAGCTAGTCATGATGGCCTTTTCCTAAAAAAAAGCCCGCCACTGCATTGGATTTCTCGCGTCGATACATTTGAAACTAGATCCCATATTAATGGGTTTCAACGATCTTTTTTAGTGAAAATATCACAAAAGGAATAAAAACGAGTATAAAAAACCAAGAAAAGAACAAAAAGATGAAAACCAAAAATATGGTTCGCACAAAAAAACAATAGCGAAGAAAACCGGAAGAAAAAAAGGAGCCCAAAAGCATGGCTGCGATTTTTCACTTTTTTTGAAGCACCAACTGTACTTTTCCTCTTTTTTCTAAGACAAGAGCGAATTTTCTGAAAGCCAAAATAAATTCCTGAACAGAGTTGTTCTTCTCGCCGAAGAAAATCTGCGCTTCTCACTCATCTCACTCGTACGGTTTTCCGGTTTGCCCGGTTGATCGATTGACTTTAAAAAGATGAATTTAAAAAATCAGACAAATTGAAAAAAATTATGAATTTGGAAGTAAACTGAAAATTGAATAAGTTTGTGCATTTGATAATTTTTGAATAATATAAAAAAGTCCTCAAATATGAAAAAATATCATAAAATTTCCAACAATAAAATATTTTTGAAAATTAGAAATTTTAGAAAACTGAAGGAATTTGAAAAAAATAACACACATTTGATATTTTTTTCAATTTTTTTTTTGAAATTTCAAAAAGCTTACAAATTTGTCTGTAGTTTTCCAAAACAATCATGTAATGGAATCAAACTCATCAAATTTTAAAGTGAAAAGTGAAAACCATATAGAAACCAAAGTAAAAAACGAAAATAGAAAATTATAAACAAATGGACAAAAAGGAAAATTGAACCAAAATAAAAACAGATGGAAAATATGAAGCCAAATAAACGTTCTAGAAAGTTCCTAGTACGGGTGCCGGGGAGAATCATGTATTGGGCCGGCCCATTACTAGTGAGGGGATGGCCTTAGTTACGAAATAAGATTGAACTAGTTAACGAGCGCTCCTTCGGGAGCCTCGCAATGATCAGCGTCACTTGGCACGCTCTCAGCCATTTGCCACGTGTCGCGCTCTGGGTGCTCCCTCCGGATTTTTTTTTCAACAAGCGTTTTTGGCTTTTTAAACGGTTTTTTCTGGGGATTTTCGACATTTTGGTTTTCCCCCGGTCTTCCTTAGCTTTTCGACCAAATTTTTTGCGCGAGAAAACGCGTTTTCTTTTTTCCCCTTTCACGAGAGTCACGGTTTTGCTTCCGCGAGAGGCACGGTTTTGCTTTTGTGAGAGTCACGGCCGTGCCTCTCGGAAACGGAAAAAAATGTGTTTTCTGTTTTTGTTTCCTTTAGCGAGAGTCACGGTTTTGCTTCTGCGAGAGGCACGGGTGTGCTTCCACGAGAGTTACGGCCGTGCCTCTCGGAAACGAAAGAAAAACACGTTTTCTGGTTTTTTCCTTTCGCGAGAATCACGGTTTTGCTTCCGCGAGAGGCACGGTTGTGCTTTAGCGAGAGTCACGGTCGTGCCTCTCGGAAACGACAAAAAAACATGTTTTCTTTTTTTTTCCTTTCGCGAGAGTCACGGTTTTGCTTCCGCGAGTGGCACGGTTGTGCTTTTACGAGAGTCACGATCGTGCCTCCGCGGGAACGAAAATAAAACGTATTTTGTCTTCTTTTTTCCCTTCGGCGAGAGACAGGGTTTTGCTTATGCGAGAGGCACGGTTGTGATTTCATGAGAAGCACGGGCGTGCCTCATTCGAAAAGGGAAAAAAATCCGTGCTTCTGGTTCAGTTTTTCCATCCGTCTTTTTTCGTCTGGTTTTTTTGTGAAAAAAGTTCGTCAAAACTTATTAGCATGGGATCTTGTTTTGAAGATCTCGACGCGTGGAATCCAACGGTGAAAGCGGTTCGAGATTTGGACGCACGGTTTGAGAGGTAAAACGTTTTGAATAAACGGATCTACAAAAAAAGGGAAAACTCTCAGGTTGCAACAAGTGCGCGCTGCATGTGCGCCACTTGTCACAATCTGGGGAGTTGGAGTGATCTTTGCAACGAATACTCCTCAACTAGTGATTTCGACAAAATAAGCATGTTTAAAATAGATAAACTTTTTCCAAAATTGATGAACTGTTTTTATAATCGATGAACTTTTTCCAAATGCATACCCTACTATTTTCAAAGTGAAAACTAGAAATGAAGCGCTCAGGAACCTCTCTGTTGCAGAACAGTTTTGTAATGGTTCCAGGGCTGGTTTTAGGAACCTTCCATCGTTGTATTTCTTTCTTTCCACGTATTTTCTAGTTTTCACTTTTTTATTTTTCTCTTTTGTTTTTACCAGGTTTTCTGGCCTTTTTTGTTTCTTCTTTTCTTATTTTCTCTTAAATTCATACTCATTTCTAAATTGATGGAATTTTAAAAATAAATCAATGATTTATCTAATTTTTGAACATTTTAAAATTCAAAAAAATATACGAATTCATCAAATCTTAAAGAAAAATCTTCTCTATGTTTTTTGCTTGACTTTTTGGTTTT